GAGTAGGTGGAGAGTGAGATGACAATCAATTAATTTGTTAATTTACAAAAATAATAAATCATTGACAGACAGTTTACCAATACTTAGACCGCAATAAACATGGTGATATACGCTAACGGGAAAAGGAAGAGGGTGGAGAGTATCGGTAAGACAATCATATGCTTTACGCATATTCAAATATACATATGCATACACTGACAATATGGAAGGATTAAAGCGGCTATTGAGTAAATGAGTTAGTTCTAAAGTACTTATTAAATTTATTGATAAAATATGGTGTTATGTACTACCACTACTACTACTACTACTACTACTACTACTACTACTACTACTACTACTACTACTACTACTACTACTACTACTGGTAGTAATCAATAATAGATTTTTCATTGATTTTATCAAAAATATTCAGAAAAATAGATAAATAGAGGAAGGAGTATACAATAACACAAAGAGGACAGTGATTAAAAGAAGTGCATACAAACACAACCCGATAGGACAATTCTAATCTGTGCTCATGTATACACGAACAGTTGAAATAGGTAGAGGGGAAGGGTGTACAAAAATCAATAATATACCATCCTATACTTATTAAAATGTTTGTTCAGTGCACATATATATTTGAAATGGAAAACAATGTAATAACGACTGTAAATTATACGCAGAAACATGTGTGTATGTATACATGTTTATGCAAGAGAGAGTGTGGACAAAGATTAAATATTTTTTTTTATAGTTTTATGCAAATTGTGAATTTTATTTTAAACAAGAGAATCAAACATTCATTTCCTTATTGATCTCGTTTAAAGTGCAAAATTGATATTTGAACATGAAATTGATGTTAGTTATTTTTAAGTCGAGGAAAAAATAGCAGAATACATATTTGTAGTTTGTATTCATATCATATTAATATTAGTTGAGTTAACAATGGAAGTCAAGGAACATTTGAGATGGGATTACCCAGCATTAGACATATTAGTTAGGAGTAAAGCAGTTATCGCCAATGTTATGTAATGGTCATCGAAGTATATCAAAAATTGGTTGAAGTCGAAATGTTGGACACCGAAATAGTAGTTTTAATGGTTAAGCATTCACTACAAGACTGGAACGTCTTTGGTTCGTTTCTTGATGAAATTGTGTGTAAGCTCTACTGAGTCCCGCACTAGGAAGAAGCAACTATTCAGTGCTCCTCAGTTTTTAATGATGCTTCAACTGGAATTAATCTATGACGAATACGACCTACAAATCAAACAGATCACCATAAAAACCCTTCAATAAAGATATTCATTTGGTTATAACTTTTCTTAAGAGTTGATATCTCACCTGGAGATCTGTTAAAAACCAGAGATTGCTGATACACAATCCGTGTTTTATTTCAGTTCGGAGGATTTCTCAACAATCCATTCATGCATAACTCCAATATAAGATTGAACTTAGAAACTTCACATCTCAAAGCATATATAGAACATCAAAAACCGGATTATGGTTAAGTCAATCAATGCACTGCAATGTGAACATTATGCAGTGTGATTGATGTGTTAATGTTTTATTCATTTAAATTGATTGACTTCGTAGGTCATAGTTTCTTGATAGGAATTCAAGAAATGCAAACGGAACCTGGTCACTAAGAATAATAGTAATAATAAAAAGTAAACGACTAGAATTTATCTTGTTTTATAGGTATCAATGCCAAGGTTGAACTCGATGGTTTCAAATAAATTGATCATTGGGTAGAAAGTTAATAATAAACATATTTTTTGTTGTTATATCCCAATGAGTAGAAAAAGTGTATTTCTGACGTTTCGTGACTTAATGTAAGCCACTTCTACAGAGTAAATAAACAACCGAATTAAATTAACACAAGTTTAAAATAGTACAAAGGAAACAATGCAAAACATTTTTAGTACAGTCAAAATCACCATAGGTTTGCATATGTCAATGTCAATTTATTCTTGGTCAAGGTGAATTTGTATGACCTGTCACTGTATTAAATTGTGCGTCAGAATGTGAGTATGAAAAATGTATGCATTTGTAATATAAAGTGGTGAGGTTGAGATTAGGTATGTGTGTGTATGAAAATTGTGTGGAAAATAAGGTCATATGTGGTTGTTTGGATAAACAGTCCAAGTTGAATGAACATTCAGGCCTTCTTTCTTATTGAAGGCAGAGGGATTTGGCATAATGTGAAACGTTTCGGCTACTCGCCTCTCTTTGTAATTGGAAAAGCCTTTCTGAATTATATTGATACTTTTAGTATCGATTTGGTGAAAATAGCATGCACTGCTATTGCTGATTAAACCTGTGAATTTTCCAATTCTACATGATCATTAGGAGGTCTTTTTGTGTAAATTAAATGTTCCTTGGCACGAGTCGAGACCTCACGGGGAGAATCTCCAATACAGAATGAATCACAATTGACACAACTTAATCTGTAGACACAATTTTGTGTGGAAGTGAACGGGATAGTATCTTTATTTTAACTAAATAGTTTCTTAGAGTGTTAGTTATCTTATAGAAAGCTTCAATTTTGTGCGTTTCCAATGTCCTTTGAAATTCTTCTGTTGTACCTTGGTGGTAAAGTGAAACCACAGTACCAATCCAAGATCTTTTATTAGGATTGTTATTTACTGACGGATAGTTTTGTTTTAATGTTTTTAATATTTTCAGGGAAATTATTAAACCGTAGCATGTTTATTATATTCTCTATTTCTTTTAGTTTTCTTTCTTCTGAAGTAATGATCCTAGTTGCTCTTCTGAAAAGATTCAGGGATAGGGAAAGTTTCGCACTGAATGGATGTACAGAGTTAAAATCAGTATACCGACCGGAATGTGCTGGTTTTCGGTATATGGTTAGATTTAGACTACCATTAGAATTCCTTTAAACTAAATAGTTTGAGAAAGGTAGTTTGCTATGTTCATCTATTTCAAAAGTGAATTTGATGTGTTCTGAGAGCGTGTTTATGTTTTTGGAGAAATTTCTAAGTAAGGTCTTTTTAATAATGACAAATGTGTCATCTACATATCTGAGCCAGATGCGTGGTCTGATGGTGCTAGCAAAAATGAGCGACTCAGTATGGGACATAAGTAAGTCTCGGTCAATCTGAGATACTGGAGATCACATAGCTACTCCATTCATTTGTTACATAAGGTACCTTTAAAAGGGAAAAGTGTTGAGTTCAAGCACAATTTCAAGGATTTGATGATTAAAATAGATAGAGTATTATCATTCTCTAGTGAACCATTAGTGAAGTCTAGACATCTGTCAATTGGAATGCTAGTTTATAAAGATAAATTATAGCTTACCACTGTTTCGCTCACGTTGATGGATAACTTCAAGACTTTTGATTTGAATTCGTATGAATCCTTTAAGACATTAATTAGATTGTGTTGAAGTGGCTTCAGTATGCTGTTTAGACATTTAGATCAATCATATGTCGAGGTATTCGTGAAGTCCACTATGGGTTTTAAAGGAATGTCAAGCTTGTCATATTTGGTGGCCCATAGAATCGTGATATGGTGTTGGATTTAGAGTATAAAGTAAACTATAGGGAAACGCCAGTAAATTGCTTTAGTTCTTTCAGAATTCACTTGTCTCTGATTTAAATTTATTTTAACCACTTGAAGATTCTTTGAATCGATCTTCAAATTTGGTCCCGTCGATAGATGTTAAAGGGCTTTTCCTTCATAGCCACTCTTGCTGAAGACCGCTGTTGTATTCCCTTTGTCAGCTTAGGTAATGACAATCGTTCTTTCTGCAATGAGTGAAAAGCTTTCCATTCTTCTTTGGAAACATTAGGTGGAACGGATATTTGTTTTGTCAATATGTTACATGTTTCTTGACATAATATATGCGATTGCTTGTCTGGACGTTTTTCGAGTACTGGTTCTAGGATTGCGGCGACTTCTACACACACATACCTAGTCTCAACCTCACCACTTTATATTACAAATGCATACATTTTTCATACTCACATTCTGACGCACAATTTAATACAGTGACAGGTCATACAAATTCACCTTGACCAAGAATAAATTGACATTGACATATGCAAACCTATGGTGATTTTGATTGTACTAAAAATGTTTTGCATTGTTTCCTTTGTACTATTTTAAACTTGTGTTAATTTAATTCGGTTGTTTATTTACTCTGTAGAAGTGGCTTACATTAAGTCACGAAACGTCAGAAATACACTTTTTCTACTCATTGGGATATAACAACAGAAAATATATTTATTATCTTGTTTTGTCAAGTTTGTAAGTGTTACTGATCAGTTCTGTACGACAACGTTATATATATATATATATATATATATATATATATATATATATATATATATATATATATATATATATATCATCAAACCAATGACAGTTTTGGTACGAGATCTTTTAATTATGAACGATTAAAGCTTTTAAGGACCCACTAATAATGGAAAGTAACGATATTGAAAAGCTATTTGTTTCTCTCTTTTGAGCGTTGATTTAGTTTTTTTATGTTTTAAAATTAAAGTTAATAAAACTGAGTTATTTCGAGTAACATTAAAATGAACCATTTTTGTTAAATTGTCTTATTGACAATTAAAATATTGATTATCATGCGATATTGCGTAACTACTTTTTCAACAATTAAGATAGAAGCATGATTTATTTTTTGAATGTTGTATTACTTATGTAACAAATTTTAAAACCGAATTGCAATTATAAATGAAAGATGACATAATCTATACGTGTAATTAGGCATAGATGTGAAAAAAGAACGGTCAAACTAATGATGCGAATTAATTTAGAATAAAGACCATAGTGGAAACCTCCTAATACGTACAATAATTTTGGTAGTTAATGAAACACGGTGGTAAGAATGTTTTATTGACTAGGGCCAAGCAAAGTTTCTTACTCGACAATCAAAAACCATCTAGCATCAACGAATTTAAGTGAACAGTACTTCTAATTGTGGGCAGTAAATTAAAGGTGTTATGAAAATATATACATAAAAATCTCACTTTTGTACATAAATATTTCTTGATAATTCATTGAATTTCTCATCAGATGTAACATTATACTGATTCAATTGCATAATAGAGTCATTGAGGAACATTTGAACTTGTTCTTCAGTGATTTTACGTTGTTCTTGTATATCATGGAAATTTGACATAATTAATATGGGCAGTTTTGGAGGAATTTGTACAAGTTCACGACATACATATTCAAATGTCCTATATGAAAATTTATACAGCGAATGAGAGTGGGCAAAAATAAACTTATATGAAGAATAAGGAAATTAAAAGTATGGATAATAAAGCATATGTTGCCTGATAATTTTCGAAATCAGCAAAAAACGTATCACGGAACTTCCAGAAGGAAGTAGGTAACAGAATAAAACACCCCAAGTGATTGAATACGCAATGATATCGAAGAGAGTTTTACAAAAAATGATATAGTTCACCATAACTCGAGTTTTGAGAATATTCCGTATGGGAGTATGTTGTTTCAGATAAAGAAACAAGAATCTCTGAAGTCAATGAAATTAGGATTGAGAAGCAGTCTCATTGATGATAGTACGAGGATTGTACTATAACACGGAGTGACTGCATTTAGAAAGAGTGGAACATTGGACTACGTCTTGGTGATTAAATGATGTTGCATTGATTTCGAGAGTTGAACTTTCTACTGGGTTCAGTATTATGTTGAATCATGAGTGTGTATACTGGTCAAAAGTTCAAATGAAAACTATTCAATGCTTCCCAGATGAAGTTATTCGCATTTCGGATGAGAATTATTTTTGAATTATAAAGTCTGTATGAAATCACTTGATTCAAATACTTTATATGATCGCTATATTTATTGCATTCATGTTTGAATTACAGAGATGATATCGGCTTAGGGAAAAACTAGGTTATTCTGAGTTTTGGAACAACTTATGTACATAAAACTACTAATTTCAAAAGTTTAAAGTTTCTACAAAACAATCTGGCTAAATAATATGTGCTTTTCACTAGTAACCAGGTTTAAGATTTTTTCACACTTCTAATAAGCTGCAACTTATGAAGACAACCAAAATTTATTTATGACGTTTGGCGAATATTATGAAATATCAGCAAATGATCAAATTTGGAAATATGAAGTGTTGGGTATCACTACTTATTCATCTAAATGTATTGTACTTATTGTAAGATGCAAGCGTTTTGAAATCAATGGATTTTATGTGAATTTATGGCTGGGTACTGAAACTGTTACTGGGTACTTGAACTATGGCGAAATAGCTGTCTATTTCTCTTTAATTTTCACTGATATATCAGCTGACATTATCTTACGACTCAAACTCAGATAAAGTATCTATTCTCGTTTATCTGTTTCGATAGTTATGTTTTAAGTCAGCTTATGTGAAATAATTATACCATTGTAAGTTGAGTTACACAACTGAACTGTCAAACATCTGATCGAATATACCAATTCAATAATTTCCATTATATATATATATATATATATATATATATATATATAATTCGACAGAAAGTGAACAACACTGGTCAAAGTTATCATCATAGTCATCAGGAAAATCAAATCAATGCATTTCTTTGCGGAAAACCTATCGACTTTACACACGTAATTTACCTGGTCTAAATTTAATAGGGTGTTTGTTTTTCCTAATGTCTACACCAAATTATTTAGGATGAATCACATATTTATCCAGGATATTTATCTTTTCTCTGATTGGCTAGTTTTGACCTTGAATTTCTCTTACTATCTTCCTGACATTTTTTCCATGAATATCAGTACATTATTGATTTTTGCCATATTATTGTGTGTTTTCCTTTTTCTCCTATAAAACACAAGGCCTGTGGTTTGCAAATACACAAGCAGGAATATTTAGCAGTAATTTAGTAAATGGTAACAAACACTAGGAAAAGAAGTCATTCCTTTTATCCACCATAGAGGGTTCATGGAGATTTCTGAGTTACATGGTTTATGTCAAGAACTGATCTTAGTTAGGTAGTCTTTGAAAACCAGAAAGTGCTGGACAACGGTTTCGTTCTAATATGGAACCTCTTGGTAGTCAGCACTCACAAACCCACCACAGGGGGTCGAACTCAGGACCTCCGGTCTTACACGTGAACGTTTAAAGTCTAGACCACTGGACCGGGACCCAACAATTGACATGTTTCACCCCAATCACTTCATAATATCGCGCGACCATGTTCATAGTTAAGTTTTCATCATTCCTGACAATATGAAATCGGGGATACGGAGCACATCGGTTCAATCTATTTTATCTTCTTAAAAGTACAGTAAAAAATAATATTAAAAAGATTTCGGGAATCAAATATGAAATAGGCTAACTGTTCAACAGAAATTATCTATGGACATTGAAGAGTCCCAAATGTGCAACGTTACGCAGTCTAAGATTAGGATAAAACATCTGTCCGTTGTTTTACGTTTTTCAATGGTTGTGCCTAGTGATAAAGTCAGTCCATGATGTAAATTGTAAACTGAAAAGAGAACTCCATAAACCTCATCGATATTAAAAATATTTGGAATTTCCTCATTTTATATTAATTCAAAGACCATAGTCTATATAACAGAATGTAAGCGTAATTCTCCAAGATTTAGAGTCGTTGGACGATAAAAATAGTGGTTCTACAAAATACTACAACCGACTACTAGTGCTAAGTACTAATGAAAGTCGATCGATCAGGAAAATCAATACAGATATCGATTGATACAGTGTATTAAAGAATAATTTGTTTTGTTGTTATCTCTCTCATTAAAGTTACCAATGAATATATTTAATTAAACTTGACCCATTTTTTGTTTATATCAGTAGTATAAATTACAAGTGAATGTGAAAACAGAAAATTTTACAAATAGTAGTAGTATGTATTGATAAGTTTAAAAGCATGACCTCGATAATCGGTAATACCAAATGCGTAATTAACCTATCTATATAGAAAGTAATGAATATATATGAAAATTATGTGCAAATGTTGTATGCACTTTCGGCGGATATCACATCTTCAAAGCATGATAATAGTTATTAGTGTTAAACACTATTCTACTTTATAAATTACACCTACTATTTATTTAATTAAAAGTTAGGTCATACTTGAATCAATAATAATAATAATAATAATAATAATAATAATAATAATAATAATAATAATAATAATAATGATAATAATAATAATAATAATGATAATTCAATTTCAATTTCTTTACTAAATCAACCTAATTTAGTGTTCATTAAAGAAACGTGCTAGTAGTGAGAAAAGTAGACGATTATTAAACTGAGACGTGATTACTAGAGCGCAAATGTGCTGAGTATGAGGTAGTTATGCATGTAAGATAATGAAAGATGGTTAATTAATATGAAAAAGTGATTGAGGATAGATGTGTACATCATTGTATTCCAGCCCAGTGATCTGAAGATTAAGTGTTCGCGTATGCGACCGAAGGTCTCGAGTTCGATCCCTTGGGATGGGGTTTCGGGTTCACACAGTTTGAGAGTCCCATACTAGGATGAACAAGCTGTCCAGTATGTCCTGATATTGACAACACTTAAGAATATCCACAAGTTTCTATAAACTTAAGGTGAAGAAATTACGGACAACAAAATGCTGTACGGGTTGTCCAAATTTAAAAGATTATGTTTTTGGAAGCATTACGAGGCAACTCGATCGATTTTAAATACTTCAACATCAGAAACCACTTAGTATATTACTTGTATAAAAGCAAATCTTGATTCATTAACCATTCGTCGTTTAAAATTTTTCATCGAAATATATCCAAAATAAGAGGAAAGTATTAGTAATCTACGATGAAAAGTCTGTTTTCATGACCTTCGATATACTAATTTTTGAAAATATGGTAAAATATTTTCGGATTATTCTGTGCACTACTTAAATCTTTATAACAGTAGATAAGAATATCTCGGTGGATTAGGTTTTAAGTTGTATTGAATAATTGATGAAGGGGTTATATTTAATGTCAATATTATAACCAACATGAAATGTTTTACTGAACCTAAAACGATTGTAAACTAATGACAAATAGTCTGATTATTCTGTATAATCTCTTTTTCTTGACACAACTGATTGAATGGAAACGAAGCGGAGTTTGAGTCGATTTACAAATTACATCAACTGATATTATATTTAACAAATAATTTCAATATATAACGGCTTACAAAATGAGTATTCTCTGAAGATAACAAAACCAATTTAATATTCAGTTGAATTATTAATATTTTGATAGTGTCATAGGTACATAACCAAAAAGTTGAAATTTCAACTCACGATGGTTTTGTCATATCCATCATTAAGATAACACCATGTGCACCTTTGTAGACATTAATAAAACTTGCATCTAGACATGGTTCAATATTTCCCTGTTATAGAGGAAAAGGTTAAAATGCGAATAAATGGGCATAAAATCTGAACAAAATATTTTTGAATTAAAAAGAATTATAGTAGCCGAATTGTAGGTCTAAATCAAATTAAAATTTGGGAACTAAGTCAAGTGGAGTGGTATTATGATGTATTGTATATACGCTATATATTTGGGGTTAGGTTAAAACGAAGCTCTGAATTTGAATACTTTTGACTTATAGTCTAAATACCAAACATCTAATGCACACCCAATTACGAGAATTGGTTCTAAGAAGGTGAAGGGAGTAAATAGCACCATGGTAATGTCTCCGATTGAAAGTTTCAAAATTAGGTTCAGATGTTGAGCGAAGAAGGGTTTTTCATCAGTTTGTGAAAACTTAATTGAAGTAATCCAACGAGTAGATACAGTCTGAAGAAAATTGCGGTGTTAGAGAACTTGCTATTTAAACTTTGATATATTGATTTTTTTTATCAGAGTACCCTACATCGATAAATGGTGATGGGATTACAAAAATGAATTATTATCACAAACAGATAAAAATAAGATATTGATTCCAAGTTATTTGTAGTCTTATAGTCAAAGTAGACAAAATAGCAGAACGAATAGATTTGTGTGCATTTATATCTTGTAAAATTTCCATCAGAATGGTCTTATAATACTTGATACTATTATAATCATTTGTAATGAAATAGTTCCTTCAAACAATAGTATTGTCATGAGACCTCTGTAAGGTTCCTGTTCTATTGAAACCTTTCAAGTCCTGAATATGTTATAAGGCTAATATTTCTATATAAAGTGAACTCGTTTACTATTTATACATGTGAGGCTTTTCAAAGGAATGTTACACGAGGTTGAACAAATGCAAGATTAAGTGGTGAGACAATAGTGTCATAAATATTACGTTAATTTTTGAAGCTACTGATATATATGTCAGTAGTTAGAGAATAAATAACTCCAACTGTGGCTCTTTTAGGGTTACTGTCATTCCAAAGCCCACACAAAGGAGGGGGATTGGGTATGGGGGTCAGCAACCTGATCACGTAGAAAACGACCTTGCAGGAAAAAGCTAACCAGAATAAACAAACTGAACCATTTAAACCCTGTCCTCTGAATTGAAGGATCTTCGTTCAGAAGAATTATGACACATGATGAAAGCCCAGATTCTTCGGAAATCACGAGGTCGATGCCCCTTCTAACAACCAGAGCAACAATTAACATAAGAATATGGAATGTCCGAACAATGTGGGAGACTGGGAGGATCAGCCAAATAGCTACGGAAATGAGAAGATACAACTTGGCGATTCTTGGAATCAGTGAAACCTATTGGACCCAAGCTGGACAGAAAAGAATATATTTAGGAGAGATACTGTTGTACTCGGATCATGAAGAAGAACATGCTCAGCACACTCAGAGAGTTGCTTTGATGCTGTCAAAAGAGGCATATGAAGCACTTGTAGGATGGAAATCTCACGAACCCAGAATCATCAAAGCATCCTACAAAACAAACAACAAAGGGATCATAATGAATGCTATCCAATGTTATGCACCCACCAATGATAACAACGACGACGATAAATATCACTTTTGTGAGAGGCTACAATTAATCACAGTGAAGTGCTGAGAAAAGGACCTGGTCGTCATGATGGGAGACTTAAACGCCAAAGTTGGAATGGACAACATCGGATATCAAGATACCATGGGACGACATCGATTGACTAGGAGAAACCAACGAGAATGGTGACAGATTTGCAAACCTATGTGCATTCAACAAAATGATTATAGACGGCACAATATTCCTCCACAAACACATACATAAAGCTACATGGGTCTGGTTCACCGGATCGCACTACGCACAATCACATCGATCATATTTGCATCACTAAGAAATCAGGTCAATGAAAGACGTGAGAACTAGGAGAGGAGCTAACATAAATTCAGATCACCACCAACTGGTGGTTGCCAAGATGAAATTGAAGATAAAAAAGCACTGGACAACTGCACAAATAGCATGACAGAGGTACAGTACAGTCTTTCTTCAAGATACGGACAAACTCAACAACAGGTTCAAAGCCCTACAAGTCCTACTTAAAGATGAAACTACTATGGAGAATAATTGGAAAAGGATCAAAGAAGCACTAACTTAACATATAAGGAGGTTCTGGGTTGCAAGAGGCATTTTCATAAGGAAAGGACCTCTATCGACAAAATTCGAGAAAGGAAGATCAAGAAGACAACGATTAACAATAGCCGCACAAGAGCAGAGAAAGTCAAGACACAAGCTGAATACAGAGAAGCAAACAAGCAAGTGAAAAAGAGCATTAGAACTGATAAGCAGAAATACACGGAAGACTTAGCGACAACAGAGGAAAAAGCTACAACAGAAGTAAATGTCAAACAACTATGTGAAACGACGAAGAAACTGGAGGGGAAATATAGTAAACCAGAGAGACCGGTCAAGGACAAAGAAGGCAATCCAATCACTGAAATTCAAAGACATCTGAACAGATGGATAGAACACTTTGAGGAACTCTTGAATAGACCAGCTTCATTGAATCCACTGGATATCGAAGCAGCACACACAGGCCTTCCTTTAGATGTCACTCCACCAACGATCGAAGAAATCAGGGTGGCCATGAGACAAGTCAACAGTGGGAAGTTATTAGGACCTAACAATATAACAAACGAAGTACTGAAGTCAGACATGGAAGTAATTGCAAACGCGCCCCACGTCCTATTCAGGAAGATTTGGGAGGAAGAACAAGTGACACAGCAGACTAGAAAAAAGCATACCTCATCAAGATAACAAAGAAAGGAGATCTGAGCAAATATGAGAACTACAGAGGCATCACACTTCTGTTAGTACCAAGAGAAGTTTTCAGAAGAGTGTTGCTGAGCCGGATGAAAGACTCAGTAAACGCCCAACTTCGAGGTCAGCAGACCGGATTCCGTAAGGATTGATCGTGAACAAACCAAATCGCGACACTACGGATAACTGTCTAATGCTTTCTCATAGTCAAGAATTTTTATTTATTTATTTTAACACATAGATATTGGTACAAGGAGGCACCAAATACATATGCGCTACGCAAATCTCATTCGATATGTGTGAGGGCTGTGATACCGCCTGAGTGCCCAAACCGGAGCAGGTGGTTTTCTTAGGGGGCCACTCCCCGAGTTTTCGACCTAAAGGTCTGATCCACAAGGCAGTGGAGCATCGTAAGGAGATGCAGTCCGATGGAAGCCGGTAACCAACAAATGGTTCATACGCCATTTGTTCCCTCAGGACCCTGGAGCCCATGTGCACCATTGGTTTGGGATCCGATTAAAGCGCCGAACATTCGTTTTTCGTCCTCTCATTTTCGTAAACAACATCCTCACTACGAGAAGACAGTGAGTAGGACTTCCCCGACAGAGGCTGTATCCGCGTGGCCGTGTGAGAGCATTTTTCGAGGGAGAGCGGACTCTTCCTACCCTCAGCCGTACCAGGGCATTTGGGGGCAGTCAAGAAAGTTTATGTACAGTGACGAGTCCCATTAAACTGATTGTTAAACGGCGTGGATAGGAGGACTTTATGGAAACTTCAACACTAAGGTATAGCCGAGATCTTCAGTATAATCCGGAATTCATAGGACGGACTACACTGCAAGGTCGTGAATGGAGCACAGCTGACAAACTCATTCCAAGTAAGCACCGAAGACAGAAAAGGCTGCTTACTCTCTCCCTTTCTCTTTTTTATAATGGTTGGCTGGATCATTAAGACCTCCATATCTCAGTTGAAGCACGAAATACAATGGACAGCTTGGATGCAACTAGACGATTTGGATTTTGCAGATGACCTGATCCTTCTATCCCACGCACACACACACCAACAAACGTAGTTCAGGACAACCGGTGTAGCATCAGTAGGCCTCAACATACACAAGGGAAATAGCAATATCCTCAAATACAACACAGAGAACACCACCCCAGTCACACGATTGAGAAACTCCGGAAGATGTGAAACTCTTCACGTACCTGGGAAGCATCATCGACGAACAAGGGGGATCCAATGCAGACTTAAAGGACAAGATTGGCAAAACAACGGCAGCGTTTCTACAGCTAAAGAACATATGGAACTCAAAACGACTGTCAACCAACATCAAGTCAGAATCTTCAATACGAACGTCAAAACAGTTCTACTGTATGGAGCTGAAACTTGGAGAACTAAAACAACCATAATCAAAAATGTATAAGTATTTATAAATCATTACTACACAAGAGACTCAATCTACGTTGACCGGAAACAATCAGCACAACCTATTATGCGAGAGAACAAATCAACTTACAACTGAAGAGAAAATTAGGAAAAGACGTTGGAGGACGCTTCTTTTACTTTAGGATGTGTAGAAACTATGATTTCATTCACGGGTTGATTTTACAACTGTATTATATTTTTACTCTAGTTTTAGTGAATCGTTCTTATGCGTAAGAAAATGCAGCTTAGTTTTACCCAAAAGTTGGTAAAAATTCTCAGTTCATATCAACCAGAATTAGTGTCTGTTTGGAGTAGAACTGAGTTCTTATGATACTTCGTTGAAATATTTCACCTCCAATAGCTAAGTACTCTGCAAATTACTGAACAAAGCCCACGAACGGACAATGTCAGGCATCTGGAACGTAAAAAAATTGCCACTCAAGAACAAAGTCAGAATTTGCAGTACAAACGTCGAGACAATTCCGTTGTATGGAGATGAAACTTGGAGGGCAACTAAAGCAATTGTCAAAAAAGTACAGGTATTCATAAACAGTTGTCTATGCAAGATACTCCAGATCCGTTGACTGGATAGCATCAGCAACAACCTACCCTTACAGAGAGCAAACCATGTTCTATCTGAAGAGGAAATTAGGAAAAGGTGCTAGAGGTGTGTAGGACACAAATTGTGGAAATTATCAAACTATATCACAAAGCAGGTCTTAGCTTGGAATCCTGAAGGCGGAACAAAAAGATGCAGATCAAAGAACACAGTGTGCCAAGAATTGGATGCAGACTCTGAAAGAATGAACAAAACTTGATAACAACTGGAAAGGAGAGCCCATGACAGAGTTAGTTGGAGAATCCTGTTTGGAGGCCTATGCTTCACAAGGGGTAACAGACATAGGTAAGTAATCTAAATACTCAGTACCAAGTAGCTCTAAATCAATATGGAAGTAACCCCTACTAATGATAAGGAAACTAATATGAGATGAATAAAGAGGGAATTAGATTCTCTTATCAGTATACTTTATTCAAGTAGCTAACTGAACACAGGAAGGTGGTAATTTATAAACTAAATCATTACTAAAGAAAACATAATGATATTTCTTTTTGAATTGTATAAAGCTTTTTTAAAGTAGTAATTAATAGTAACTACTTAATGTAAATGGATTTAAGCTTGTCTTGGAACATAATTCCTAGAACATATATTATTTATATTCAAGCTAGATCAGGATGATTGGATAATTTGAGCATGGTAAATTATAAGAATTTATATGTAAGCTTGATCCCATTTAACATACTTTTTTATTACATTGAAACTTACTAAATGTAATGAACATATAATTATGCATCTTGAAGACAGTCCCAGTTAAAAAATATGTCAAACAGTCTGTATGTTAAAATAATTACTAAGCTGAACATTACAGTGAATTTATCTGAAGTAGGATCCCTCCTGAAACAAATATTCCCTTCTTGCTCCTCCACTAACTTCACCAATATAACAATGGTCTTGAGAAAATACAAGTTAAGCAATAGTTTGACCGAAGTATTCTATTAAGTACTTGATTTGAACTTAAATGCGAGTGTAAACCTATCATGAATAAGTCTAAAGAAGCGTTTCTGATTTTCGTAGTAGGTGACACAGGTTACGAATATTTGATGAGGTATCCATTTCTTCAAAATTACAGATATATTCATAATTTAAATTACGAACTGATCTTAGTTGGTTCTCCCTGTAGTGGATGCTGCTTATGCTGAAAAATATAAGTAGTATGTAGCAGCCAATCGAAAGTGCAACACCTGGTAGTAGAAAATTGAAGTGAAGAGGGAGGGAAACAAAGAGGAATTGGAATAACAACCGAATTTAAAGGATGGAGAAATATGTACAGGACAACTGATGGAAGATGTGCAAGTAATGTATTTAATGTATGATGTTTACATTTTGCGAAAGCACTAAGTAATTTGCATAAAAAATAGTTTTCCACATCAAGTCATCATTCACTACATCACCATAGTAGATCTGGAAGCACTGGACGGTAGTTCCGTCCTAGTTAGAACTTTTAAGCAGTGCCCATCCACAATCCCGCATTTAGGGATTGAATCCAGGACATTCAGTGGTGCTTACCAGTAAGTTTGAAATCTGAGTGTATGGCATCCTGCTGACTACCTAGAATCAATACTTATTGAAATACACTAAACAAAATTGACACAATTTGACACGGTTACTAATAAGTAATATAACATGAAAACTTAAGAAAATAATAACTTACAGCCTGTCCACCAATATTGATAACAGGTTGGCCTTTTGTTAGTTTGTTGAAAAACTTTAAGCCTTTCGAAGCACTACTCCTAGGTTTACCTTTATCAACAACATCCCAAACTTCTACTTTAATTACACTTTGGGAATTCTGATGATTCCAATGAATGTTAGCCAACTGTCGAATGAAAATAATATCCAATGGATAAAATTTTAGTATGATTTATTCAAATAATATCAAAGTGTAAATCTAACGGTCAAAAACAGTAATGTTATTAAGGATTAACTTGAGGATGCTTTAATTATAACAAAGTATTACACTACATAACTAGGTAACATTCACGTGGAAATGTTACAAAACGTTTCTATCATGAGATTACTTATTGGTGTTGGCACGAGACTACATATCCAAGAAAAAACTCTACAATCATTACATTTTCCAAAACCTAATAAACCCTATACATGAGGGATTATGAAACACCGAAAGGCGGGGGGATAACACAACTAAACTCTATGTCAAAAAAATCGGAAGTGAACATTCAGTGGAATGTGGGGATTATATAAGCAGGAACTGTGTTAGTGAAGCACTGGACACAATATCGTATAATGATCCAATTTGGTTAAAAAACGTGACCACAATCTAATATTAATCATTGTACGGTTCAACTATTGAACTTACTTTGTAATGTATACAGGGAAAACTAATATTTAAATAAGTTTAGCAACTACGATACGCTAGAATTTTCCAACATTGAACAGAGTTAAAGATACAAACATGATTAAAGAATCAACTTTTAACACCTACACTAGTTTGTAAGAAGACAGACACAATACGACAGTTTCAAAGGCGTATTTACAAAACCACTTACATAATGTCTATTAGTGAAAGTAATGTATGGTTAGGTAATCCTATGTACACACAATTATTTACAACAAAATTTCAGCTTCATCAATTTAAGACTAGTACTTATTACGGGGCACTAATTATATGACTTTGTATTTGCCCTTCAAATAATTGACATTTTATTGATAAGTTACTTTAAAAACCATAACTCTGATTTACTCATATTTTTGAATAGTTTTCGTAAGTTTGAAACTTTGTGCACCCTTAGTCCATTTCTAACTTACACCTACTCCTACCAGTTTAGCATACAAATGTTGCAATTACCAAAATCGATGGTCTGCAATCATGTCAACTGGTTTAAAATCTATATTCAATTACTTTATACTTAAACACTAGGATTGTTTATTTGTTGATTGTAATATACACGAGATCTTTTAAAGATTCTTTAATGGAAGTCTTTTACATTTGTAAGACAACACATAGAACTAGTGTGTAATACATTCACTTTGACAAGCATTCTAATATTTTAACTGCAGCATAGGTAATATAATTTGGCAAAAACTAAACTTTGTGCTTACACAGAGGTTCCATCAATGCATCAAACCGATAACCCCATAAGCTTAGTGATAAACCCATTCAATCACATCTCCTAATGTTAAACTCGGTGCTAATGTATATCAGTCTTGAAGCAACATATTGCGATTGGAAAGTGAGGAGCATATCCCGAAATTCAGATTTTATTGCCTGATATGTCTACACGAAACTGCATTAAACTTGCATAGCTACAAGTCAATACGAGAACCAAAGGTAAAGGGTCAACTTCTGATAAGTTTGTGGGAAGAAGTGATATAATTAAGTGAATATTTTTCCGTATTTAATGAATCGGTCAACCAACCATGTGGTCAGAGGTTGACAGAACAGAAAGATGAATGAAGGCATACTGTATGCAAATAATAATAATAATAATAATAATAATAATAATAATAATAATAATAATAATAATAGCAAAATAATAATAATAAAGCATTTACATTATGTGCAACTGGTTTAAAAATACTTCCATAATCAACTCAAGTCCCTTTGGTAAATTTGGATGCTGTAAAAAGAAGACGAAGATTGTCAGAACTATATGATGTGTAAACACAATACACTTCGAACAATCTGATTACATCAGTCAGTCAGCTACAACGTAGGACCAGGCACATATGTGCATCGGTTCAAGTTGCCATATCTTATCAGCACAACAAGATGAACATTGGATTCATAGAAGTAGTTAATTCAGTGGTGGTAATATATAAAAGAAAGATTGCATATAAGGACATAGTACAAGAAGAAAGAATTAGTCGTGGGGGAGGAAGAAATATATATGTGTGTAGAAATACATTCGTACTTACGCAAGTGAACCGCGCATGAAGAATTTCCGGTATATATACTATGTCTAGTTAACCTTTTACTTTTTCGTATATAAATGTTCATAACAAGTATATGTGTGGTCAGATTGTTCGAAATATATTGTGCTAATATAACACATAATTCGGATAATATTCGTCTTCTCATTACAGCACCCAAAGATGTTTTACTATAATATTTCATCTACTTTTCTAAATAGTAAGATATAATTATTAGGATTTTAACATATAAGCGAAAATAAAGTTACTTGAATTTCATTGGATGGGATGTATTTTTCTTTAAACTGTTCACCCTTCAAGCGCGAAAGTAAAGCTGATTTTCCAACATTACGATCACCGCGTATAACAATTTTCACTAAAAATATAAGTAGTTTAAATTTCTGAATTGCTAGATTCATATATATATAATTCAAGGGAGCATATAATACTGAGCCACTATGACCGATTTTTACTCTATCGATGGCAAGTATCGTGCGGTCGTCCCCGAATAAGCAGTTAGGACCTACCGACTAGTCTCAGAACGACAATCAATTAATTTTGCCTTGCTTTGTCTGCTCGTAGTTTTCCAATCTACTATTATGTTGACTAACACTATATACCAGAGTAGGAGGTGGCATGCATAAACCATGTCATAACCAACTCGGCTGACAAAGGTTTATAGCCTTATTAATGAATTTAGCATTTTTATTTAGTATTCTGTTCATAACCACACAATTCTTCACTTTGTGGTTCTAATATGTGCAACTAATACCTTTGATCAAATATTTGTAGCCTACGTGTGTATTTTACTTTCATGAGTGATGTTTGTAGCATCATAGTAGCAAAGAGTGAACTATTGTTGTTAGTTTCCGTAGGAGCATCCCGTTTATATGTATGTACATATAAATACTTTTACTTGATTCTCTTCTAATTTTACCTGAATCAGTACTAAAAACTATACGAGATGTCACTGGTTACTACCCGTTTGTCAATTAGCGTCAACAACTCACCCTGACAAGAAACCACTCGTCTCCTTATTGAGATGAATCCAAAACAAAATGTTTTATGCATCATTTTAGAAAAATAACAACCCATTAAGTGTGTTGACGTTGAATTTTCTAGTAATCTGGCGTAAAGTAGAGAAGACTAACGAATGTTATTCAGTACTAGGCACTTATCAACGATAGCAGTGAAGATAATAGAAACCACTTTAATGCGAGGATGCAGTCCATCCTACAGAAATATTCAGAAAAAGAACTGAACATCCTAGTAGAGAAACTAAATTTTGAACTCAGATTGAACAATGCTTTCAGGTTTTCAGTGGTAGTCTAACATTGGTCGATTCATGATCTCAGTCATTGCTGACGTAACTGAAAAGATATTCCCAATTCTCTTTAGAAAGATTCTGGAAGGAGAACAAGTACCAGAAGGTTGGAAAGAGGTACACCTCGATACCTGAAAAAATCGTCGCTACCATACAGAACTTCTACGATGGAGTACATTGCAAAGTTGTGCATGGGGGAAGCTCACAGATACTGGTGTTAAAAAAGGCTACTAACTATTACCTTTTCTCCTCCTGCTAACTGCTGACTAGATTATGGAGGCCTCTGTTTCAGAAAAACAACATAACATAGTGGAAACCTTGAACACATACGGATGCTTTGGACTTTGCAGATGACTTAACCCTTCTATCCCATACACAACAACAAATTCAGATAAATACAGCCAATATAGCGGAGGACTCCTCAAAAATAGACCTTAACATTCACAAGGGAAAAAGTAGGATGTTGAAGTACAAAACAGTGAGCATCAACTACATTCCACTTGATGGGGAATCTCTAGAACAGGTGGGAGTCTCCATATACCTGCAGATTTTTATTGATAAACAAGGAGGATCTGATGAAGATGTGAAGGTACGAATCGACAAAGCAAGGACAACATTCCTACAATTGAAGGATATCTGAAACTCAGAAGAACTGTTACCTAAGACCAAAGGATTTTCAACACGTTTCAACAACGTTTTATTGTATGGAGCCGAAACTTGGAGAATTGCGACGATCACCAAAGCAGTGCAGGTTTTGTAAATATATGTCTACAAAAGATACTCCGGATCCACTAACCGCAGGCTATCGACAATAGCCTAATGTGAAACAGAACAAACCAGTTGAGTAAGAAATTAGGAAAAGAAGCTAAACGCAGGTAAGACATGCTTTGTGGAAGCCATGTAAAATTACATCGCAAGGTAAGATCTAACGTAACAAAGGAAAAAGAGGAAAACCAAAGAGCACATAACGCCGAGAGTCAAAGACAGACATTAAGACCATGGGCACCAATCGGCAACAACTAGAAAGGATCCCAGTACAGAGTTGTTTGGAGAACCCTGTTTGGTGGCCTATACACTATGTAACAGGCCCCAACAAAAGTAAATATATCTAATAAATTTGAGGTCTGATGAACTACATCTAATATTTAGAGTTCAAATTCACTGATAAAGAGCTCTAGATATGAATAAGTTATTTATAAATAATCTTTACAAACTTGAATATAAATATATTCATAGCGAGATTTCAAATCACAGAATTTAGTTCTCTAGTCAGTCGGATGTACAACCAGTGAAGTGTCTATTAAAAATGTAGAAAAAATGGTAGTGATGATAAAAGCAAATATTTCAATTTTTATGCCAATTCCTAAACATACTATTATAGTCGACTCCATGAGAAAATTTCTCTTGTAAATATTCACCAATAGGCTGTATATCGGCAGATGAATACCTTTTGGTAGTTGATTCATTTTTATCCCACCACTTTCTAGCTAAAGACATGCTAAGCAAAAATTCACAAGTTCAGTAAAGACGTTTATTTTCGATTTTGTACAAATAATTGTGGCAGTAAGCACGTTACTAAAAGTCAAATAAAAAATGGAAAATGAAGGGGTATACGTCAAAAGAAATTGCTACACTTAGGTATACGAATAAACAGTAGTACATAACTTAAACCACATAATTTGTAGAGGTCCTGTTGGTTTGAGGATGGTTGACTTTAATTGAAGACTAATATCGGTTGAGGAAATTTGATGGGAGGGAGGCTAAACAAATTGGCACTAACAAGTTTGAGGATAGTTGAGTTACATTGTTTAACAACTATTGCGATGATCTTTAACGCATCCATTTGATGACAAGTATCCAGTATATGATAGGATATTGTATTACTTAAGAGGGTGTAGATTTTGAGAGGAGAACTTTTAAAATGCAAGGAGATTTTACAAGATAACCACTTCATTTTACTTGTGCTATGCTATAACGTTAACAGGGATTAGTACGTTAAAAAACTCAGGGTTTCTTGGATTATTTAAATTATACATTAATTCCGAGATTTTTCAGATATTTTTAAAACAAAGGATAAGTATTTATATACCGTCTCTAAACAAATTTACTCTTCCTAGAAGTTGAGTTGACAAAGTAAATGAGTTAAATTCATTGGTGATTAAACAAAGTAGCACACATGAAACATACCTTATGCACAATTAATTATGACAAATAACATGAAAGTGTGATGCTTGCAACCAATGGAGCAGGGGTTTAAGCTTCTTCAAGATAACTCCATACTGCTTGCTTAACTACAGTGTATCAGCATCTAACTTTTTCTATATAGGCCTTAAAGAGAAAAACAGAGAAGTCGAAAGCTTCATAACTGGTTACATCAATAACAATGTCCTTCAAGGTGTAGAATTTTTACGCCAAACGTTGTGAATTATAACAGGATTCATATTAAATCCTAAAAGTATTCAAGTCTCGTTTCTCACTAAATATAAAGTTTCTACAGAATTTGTGATGAGTTACGCGCACGAGTTACTCCGGAGGTTAAATTCAAAAGGGCAAAACATTTTTATAAAATACAGATCACAAAAAGGTTTGTGGTAATATTGTGACAAGCTATTACTCCAAATAGTATTTTTTCTGCATATGACTAATAAATCTACTGTATTCTACAAATCGGTGAACATACGGTTCCGTTGATCATATGGTTTGTGCTAATTTCAACACAAACAACACATACGTGAATATAGTGTATTTCGGAAACACGTAAACTTCCTAAGGGAAAAGTAGATTGTACAGTGGAAGCATAAGCAAAGAGTATACATCTAGGAAAACTGACTTTAAGAGGAACTTCGGCAAGCCTTTTTACAAAAGAACTTTATTTAGCGCATGTTTTCTATTAAAATTGAGGAGAATGATTTTTTGCAGTTTAATTTTCCTAAATTCTCCCCAAAATAGATTGTTTGAACAGAATTATGTGGGGATTATAAGTAAAAATAAACTGTCTTGCTGTTTAATCGGTTATCCCATACATCAAAATACCAATTAAAGCATGTTCTAGACAGACCATCAGTCTAAATAACTTTTTTAGGGACTTTGTTGCATATTTAGGTGTGGACAAACCAATATTTTTTTATAACTCCCGTCGATATTAGAAAATTCACCTACGAGTAGACATTTAAACGTATTTTCAGGTTAAAAACTTTGGTTCGACATTCTGTAAGAATAATAAGGATTTAGTATTACCTGAAGTTAGCCCTATAGGGTTAACTGCTTATAAGAAAACAATGGGGTCCGCTTATATATTTAAGTATGTTCTTAAGGCTTGACATGTCTTGAGCAGTTATTCATTTAATTTTAAAACTTTTTTCTGAACAAGTGTCAGGATTTACCATTCTATGAAATCGTTTAAAATGTTGATAACTTCCCACAAACCTACAAACTTAAAAGAAACGTACATTTTCATAATGACGGGAATGTTTGTCTTGTACAATGGCTTAAAATGGTTTCAAATGCTCCTGGATGTAATAAGGGAAGCTTTAGCTTAACGGGCTTCCGTATCTAGTAGCAGTGGATCGCCGATGTCTCCAGGTGAGAAGCTAGGTATATTTAACAATAGCAGAGAAAAAGTGTTATTAAACTATAGTGAGAAACTATCTTTAAGAACATGTCAAGTTTTCTCTTAAAATACTACTGGAAAGTCTCTTATATTAACTGAGCAGGCAGTGAATTTCAGTATTTGACTACTCTTGAGGAGTCGAAGGTGTGTAGCGGTAAATAAATCCCCAAAATAAATAGCTCTGTAAGTTTTCGACATTGGATGCTGACCACATTAGTTTTAATGGACTCACCTAGCTGAAGGCGCACGGTCATGCATCCGCACCAGATCACGTGTGGGAACGCCGTGCTCAACGTCT